ATAAACCACTGGTTTATCATGTTCCTCAAGGACAATTAGCCTGCATGGTTTAGTTGTTTCCATGCTCCTCAGCAGGTTTTTAAGATCTGCAGAAGCATATCAATCAAATCAGGTGTACCAAAGCAGGAAAACATCCAAAACATGCAGGATTTTCTTTGARTTTTCCATCTCCTTGATGATGGCGAAATCTTAGAAACACCAGATAGTTGTGGTGTCGGACCGTGTCGAAACTAAAGTAGATCGATATTTGTGTCACTTGCAGTGCGTCACGTCGCTCACGTTTTATAAAATACAAGGGAGGTTAAAACTGAAACAATGAACTAAACAAGCACATCAGATAATTATTTTACCAGTTCTGATTGAACAACTTCAGACAAAGCTAACAATAGCATCCACCATGGCTACCTGTTTCCTCCTGTAAACAGTGAATCGCATGTGACAGTGCATCACTCTCGTTCCATAAAATACACACTTCATGAAAGCAGTCGACCACAGGGCGGTTAAAACATAAACAATGAACTAAACAAGCACGTTAGATAATTATTTTACTGGTTCTGATTGAATAACTTCACAATCAACAAGCTACGAAGTAGCATTCACAGTAGCAACCTGTTGTTCAATCAATAAAAAACAGCACATGTGCATCACATCAATGGCAGTGTGGAAGTTGTATTTAAAATGTGAACATCCACGCCAAAAAAAGGTATCGGTTCAGTGTATCGGGGCATTTTKAATGAGTAYGAGTRCGTGTAAAATGCTGATATCAAACMCGATACTSGTATCGGTATCGGTGCATCCCTACTTGAAACAATRCAAAACTGTTTTAACTGGACATTAGCAGCAGAGTAAAAAGGGRCAGWGGCTGATTTTCAGACCTTTATAAAGATAGATGAGAAGCTGATCTTACCCAGTCTCCCAAGATTAAGGAAATTGGTGCCCATAAACCAGCTAACCAATGCACCCCTACTTTCTGTAAARCTGGTCTAAGGGTGTATTCAGACCAGGAAAGTCCTTTGGTCCAATTGTTTGGTCCGGACCAAAAATGGACTTTTTTGTTTTCGTTTGGTGTGGTTTGCATTCACATTGTGCTTTTTTGCAAATGAACTATAACTTGTAAACAAAGCCACGAGGGTGACGATCATTGCTCCCATTGGACAAAAAAGGACGGGGGCGGGACTGAGCAGCCACAGATCCAGAAGAAAACAAGGAAGTCCTGCATGCTGCGGTTCTGATGCGCACATTTTTGCTGATAGTCCAACTGTAATAGCATTTAAAATGTCAGAAGCAGCTAATTTAATGGTGGTTCYGTGATRATATTCTAATTTTGGAGCGGCGTCAGTAAATGTGTCCTGCAACCCAAAGGAGAAGAGTTGCTCTGCGTGTTCTGACCCACAACATGCTGACTGCAGAGCTGCTAACAGGAGACGACGAAACAGGTATGATTTCAGTTTATTTAGCTCAGCAACGGTGGCCTGTGAAGTCCAAAAAGGTGCATGTTTAATGCAGTTGGTTCGGTTAGAGTCCGGTCTGTATTCACACCAGAACAGAACTAAAGTGAACCGCACCAGAGTTCGTTTGGAAGCGGAMCGAGACCACCTCAAAAAGCAGGTCTCGGTCCGGTTGTTTGATCTGCACCAGAGTTCGTATGAGTGTATTCACACCTGCACAAAAGGTCCGGACCAACGCTGGAAAAGAACTCTGCTTCGTTTAAAGCGGAGCAAATTATCAGGTCTGAATATGACCTAAAACTAAAGCTGTTATCTTTTCAATTGTTTTTGCTTATTTTTTTCACTCTGTCATGCATAAAGCCCTCATGTGAAACTGAACAGGYATGTATTTACATTACACATACTTACATATTTACCGTACGTGTCCTGCACTATGGGAGGTGTGGGCCTGTAGCCGGCCCCTCTGGCTCTTTGAACTCCTCTACCTCTGGATGAAGGTACTCGGCTGGGAGGGCCTCCATTGGGTGCTGCTCCTCGAGGCACTGCTGTATGCAGGGGGGGAACTCCTCCACGACTCCTGACACAAAACACATAAATCAGCCAGGTTAGGGTGAAGGAGTGGGGCTATGTCAGATCAGCTGACAGGTGGAAGCTGAGATCCACCCTGAGGCTAACCAAACCAGGAACGGATCACTATACACAATGTTCATGTGATATTTAAGGCTTTACAAGATGTTAGAGTTATTGTATCATCAATATTAGATGTCCACTGCAGTCTCCATCTCCGTGATAAAAAAAAGTTGTAATTTATTCTTGTCTTCCATCAATTTCCTGCATTGGCCAGAACAACTGGACTCAATCCAGAAAGGATGAATTTGAAGTGTTCAGCGGGCAGGTTAGAGGTGTGGGAGGAGAGAAAGGAACAGCGCAGGCGGAGGGCATTTTTCTCCTGTCGAGAAAAATGAGTCATGTCCGTTRCTCAAAACACACCAAGTCTTCTGGCTGAATCACTTTCTGACTATTAAGAAAAATGTAGACGTTAAAAAAGGGGGAAGAAAACCTGTTATTTCTGCAACTCTACAACTCCACTTGTGTGTCTGATTTAAGAAAGCCACAGCTCGTGAAAACATTAAAAATTTACCATTACACTAATAAAGATTTTTAGGTTGAAAATAAAAAAAAATTGTAAGATTCTTGTGTAAACCTTAAAACAAACTATTTAGGAATCAAGATGTTTTGAAATTGTTCAGACCTGTTGTTGGATCCATCTCAAGTGATTTAACTGCAACTGGACAGGTCTGATTAGACGCTTTTATACCTGGCCAGTTAGTGTGTAGCCCTAAAACAATTTTGTTACCAACTGTGTGCAGATACACACAATTACATCACACCATGGGCTGTGCTGAGTCAGCATTCACACTATTGTTTTCCTGTTTGTAAGTTATTTTTTGTGTTTTTTCAGCATTTTTTAATGCATTTTTTTCATATATCAAAACATTCAGCTTGATAAGGAATAGTGGGCTTGACTTGATTTTTTAAAACTTCATACTTTTCAAATAATATAACTATTTAAAATCCTTGCTCTGGTTTTTCTAGCCTTTAGGAGCCATTTTGTGCCTTTTAGGTTTCAAATGCAGTTTGCTACATTTAGTCACAGTTTTGCTAAAGTTAGCATTTTTATGCTATTTCAGCTTTAGAATCAGTTTAGCTCATTTTAGCTTCCATTCTGCTTTGTCCTAAATTGAACATAGTGGGCATGGCCAAGCTGAATTTGCACATTTTCACAAAATCCATTCTCAGTATTACTTACATGTTCCAGAGTCCTTTGGACTGCTTCTATTGTTGAGTTGATATACTGTAGATCAACACAACACTACTCAGACTTACACTCACTGGCCACTTTATTTGGTACACCTGYCTCATTAASCCAATTTAGACATGTAGACATGGTCAAGACGATCTGCTGCAGTTCAAACTGAGCATCAGAATGAGGAAGAAAGGTGATTTRAGTGACTTTGAATGTGCATGGTTGTTGGTGCCAGACGGGCTGGTCTGAGTATTTCAGAAACTGCTGATCTACTGGGATTTTCACCCACAACCATCTCTAGTGTTTACAGAGAATGGTCCAAAAAATAGAAAATATCCAGACAGCAGCAGTTCTGTGGGTGCAGATGCCTTGTTGATGCCAGAGGTCAGAGGAGAATGGCCAGACTGGAACAGACAGTAACTCAAATAACCAGTTGTTACAACGAAGGTCTGCAGAAGATCATCTCGGAATATACAACATGTTGGTCAAACCTTGAGGAGGAGGGGGCTACAGCAGCAGAAGACCACACCAGGTGCCACTCTGTCAGCTAAGAACAGGAAACTGAGGCTACAGTTCACACAGGCTCACCAAAACGGGACAATAAAATATTGGAAAAACGTTGCCTGATCTGATCTGATGAGTCTGGATTTCTGCTGCAACATTCATATGGTAGGGTCAGAGTTTGGCATCAACAACATGAAAGCATGGATCCATCCTGCCTTGTATCAATGGTTCAGGCTGGTGGTGGTGGTGTCATGGTGTGGGGAATCTTTTCTTGGCACTCTTTGGGCCCCTTGGTACCAATTGAGCATCGTTGCAACGCCACAGCCTACCTGAGTATTATTGCTGACCATTTCCACCCCTTTATGACCACAGTGTACCATCTTCTGATGGCTACTTCCAGCAGGATAACGTGCTATGTCATTATGCGTGAATCATCTCAGGCTGGTTTCTTGAACACAACAATGAGTTCACTGGATCTCAATCCAATAGACCTTTGGGATTTGGTGGAACAGGAGATTCTAATCATGGATGTGCAGTCGATAAATCTGCAGCAGCTGTGTGATGCTATGATGTCAATATGGACCAGACTGAGGAATGTTTCCAGTACCTTGTTGAATCTGTGCCATGAAGGATTAAGGCAGTTCTAAAGGCAAAAGKGGGTCCAACCTGGTACTAGCACGGTATACCTAATAAAGTGCCTGGTGAGTGTATGTTCTCTGATTACCACAAACCACAATATAGCTTATAGTGAACAGTGAAAAACAATCAGAACAAACAAASTGAAAATTACTCAAAGTGTTCTGTAATCCACTTTAATCATTAAAATCCCAACAAAGTGGGATTTTTTACAAAAATCTTTGATAAACAGTTCAAAAACATTACTGAATTACTGACTTTTGTATTTGTCTTGTGCACCTTTTCAGACTACCAAATGTATGCTGATAAAAGGGTTCTAGACTACCTCCAAAGCTGATTTGAAGAAAAACCATTCCATTGAACATTTAGGTCATTCACACCAATGTTTAGTTCTACTTAAATCCAACTAACAGAATTTAGTGACTGATCTGAACAGCGTCTTTAACGGAGACAACAGCAAATTCAAACTCAAAGACTGTCTGACCTTGTGRTTCAGTAAAATGTTGGATGTGCTGTTTCTCACCACCTGAGCTTTCTGTTCAAAGTAGTTGACTGAGCCAAAGCTGCAGCAGAAAACTGACTATGCGTCTATCTGGATAATTTGCTTTCTATGTTTTTATTGCAGCAGCTTTTTGTGTGACTGTGGTAAAAGAGCCTAGATTTAGAGTAGAGAGTGAAAGAAATCTCAAACTATTCAACTAATGGGTACAGAGAGGCACACGTTGTGACAGAAAAAGAATAAAAAGAAAACTGAGTACTGAAAATGTGTTTTTCAGTTTAAAGCAAGACTGAGTCAAAGTCAAAGAAAAGATGGAAGTGGTTGAAAATCCTCCAGTCAGAGCTTGAGTAATGATCAGAATCAAATAACATTTTGCTTTGAACAGGCGATAAAAATGAGCAAAATTTCTAGAATTGACCTATTATTTGGTTTACAAAAAAAGATTAGAATAAATAAATTAGAATTAGCTGCGTTTCCATTGCAAATGTGCGCAAAACTGTCGATATTCTGTTAATGTCGAAAAACACAGTCTCGCAATTGCAGCGTTTCCATTAATTAAAAAATACTTTTAAAGTCACGCGTGACTACATTTGTTCTCATGATAAGTCATTACAAACATGGTGGCAATGGATGTAAACACATAGTATGTTGCTACCACGACACTAGTGCTCATTATCAGCCATCAGAGGAGACGTTGGCGTCTTATCGAGGCTTTCCAGTGACAAGCCCTTTATACTTGGGACATACTGTATGCTACGTATGCTGTGTTTTTGGGAAATTGTAGTCGGTGAGCTTACTACTTTCTTTTACTACTTCGGTGATTTTACTACTACTTTTCTTTCCTGTTGTCTTCTTTTTCGTCGTCTTTTTCGCCAGTAGAAACAGCCGGTTCTTGATCACGTGACTCCCGTGATGCGAAAAACGTGTTTCCATTGCAGTTTTGCAAAATACACCAATTTTGATTTGGCCGAAAAACCCACATCATCCTAGCGTAAAACCATTTTGTCGAAAAATGTAATTTTTTTTCGAAATTGACGTATGTCCATTGAGCAAATTTATTTTAGAAACTCTAATTTGCGCCTTTTCATGGGCAATGGAAACACAGCTAGAGACACTGCAGATGGCAAAGCTGCATTACTGTTGATAATGTTTTTGCTCATAATCTGTATGCATGCATTGATGACATACTGTATACACTTACCAGCCACTTTATTGGGTACATCTTGCTAGTACCAGGTTGGACCCACTTTTGCCTTCAGAACTGTATTAATCCTTTGTGGTATAGATTCAACAAGGTACTGGAAACATTCCTCAGAGAGTCTGGTCCATATTGAAATGATAGCATCACACATCACACAGTTGCTGCAGATTTGTTGGCTGCACATCTATGATGCAAATCTCCCGTTCCACCACATCACAAAGGTCTATTGGATTGAGATCTGGTGACTATGGAGCCATTCCAGCACAGTGAACCCATTGTTGTGTTCAAGAAACCAGTCTGAGATGATTCATGCTTTATGACCTGGAGTGTTATCCTGCTGGAAGTAGCCATCAGAAGATGGTACACTGTGGTCATAAAGGGATGGACATGGTCAGAAGATGGTACACTGTGGTCATAAAGGGATGGACATGGTCAGAAGATGGTACACTGGTCATAAAGGGATGGACATGGTCAGACGACGGTACACTGTGGTCATAAAGGGACGGACATGGTCAGAAGATGGTACACTGGTCATAAAGGGATGGACATGGTCAGAAGATGGTACACTGTGGTCATAAAGGGATGGGCATGGTCAGAAGATTGTACACTGTGGTTATAAAGGGATGGACATGGTCAGCAACAATACTCAGGAAGGCTGTGGCATTGACACGATGCTCAGTTGGTACTAATGGACCCAAAGTGTGCCAGGAAAATGTCCCACACACCGTTGCACCACCACCAGCCTGAACCGTTGATACAAGGCAGGATGGATCCATGCTTTCATGTTGTTGATGCCAAACTCTGACCCTACCATCCGAATGTCGCAGCAGAAATCCAGACTCATCAGATCAGGCAATGTTTTTCCAAATTTCTATTGTCCAGTTTTGGTGAGCCTGTGTGAATTGTAGCCTCAGTTTCCTGTTCTTAGCT